AAGAAAAGGAAGAGACGAAGTGATGATAAAGAAGAGGTTAAGAAAAGGAGAAAAGGAAGAAGAGACAAAGTGGTGATAAACAGAGGTAAAGGAAAGAAGGAAAAAAAAGAAGAGGAGGAGTCATGATAAAGAATAGGTTAAGGAAATAAAAAAAAGAAGTTTAAGAAAAAAAAAGAATTTAAGAAGAGGAGAAAGAGGCAAAGTGGTGATAAACAGAGGTACAGGAAAGGAGAAATAAAAAGAAGAAATAAGCAAAATGGAAAAGAAAAGAAGAAGGAGCAACGTGAAGATAAGAAAAAAAAATATAAAGAAAGAAGGCAAAGATACATCAATATTTCACAAAAAAAATACGAGGAAAAGAAAAAAAGAAAATAAATGAACAAACAAACACAAAAAAACTAACAGAAATATACACGAGGCCAAATAAACGCAGAAACACATAAGAAAGTGGATACGAGCCTAAATAAATCGATGAATAAACCTACAAATCTAAACAAATTGATAGAATACAAATAAGAAATGGATACGTGCCTAAATAAATCGCTAAATAAATCTACAAACATAAACAAATAAAAAGAAAAAAGATACGAGCCTAAATAAATCGCTGAATAAACCTATAAATATAAACAAACTAAAAAAAAAAAAAAATGGATACGAGCCTAAATAAATCGCTAAATAAGCCTGAAACATAAACAAATCAATAAAAAAATCAAATGGATACGAGCGTAAATAAATAGTTAAATAAACGCATAACAAACACATAAAATAATTTAATAAAAAAATAATCATATTATCAATTTAATAAAAAACAAACACATAAACAATTTAATTAAAAAACAAATACATAAACAATAAAACAAACAAGTGGACACATAAACAGAGAAAACTGACCATAAATGGATACGAGACTAAATAAATTGTTTAATAAATGCACAAAAACAAATAACAAACAGACACGAGCCTAAAGTAAATCGCCAAACAAACGCACAAACAAACACAAGTAAATAAACCACCAAACAAATCAAAACACAAACACGCAAACAAACAAACTAAACAAACGAACAAAAACCTCACCTGTCTCCCCAGCTTGTGGGCGTAATACCCCGTCATAAGGGCGGAGCGAGAGGGCGTGCACAGCGAGTTGGTATAATGGTGTTCCAGAACCACGCCCTCGTCCGCCAGTTCTTGCAGGTTGGGCGTGATCATGTCCGGGTTGTGCCATGACACCTCGTTCCAGCCTGGAGGTGGCATTTAGCGGGGTTGGAAGGGGTTGTTCTTGGTGTCAGAAATGGTTGTTCTTGGTGTTAGAAATGGTTGTTCTTGGTGTCAGAAAGGGTTGTTCTTGGTGTCAGATATGGTTGTTCTTGGTGTCAGATATGGTTGTTCTTGGTGTCGGAAATGATTGTTCTTGGTGTCAGAAATGGTCGTTCTTGGTGTAAGAAATGGTCGTTCTTGGTGTCGGAAGTGGTTGTCCATGGTGTCATAAATGGTTGTTAAGGGTGTCGGAAATGGTTGTTCTTGGTGTCGGAAGTGGTTGTCCATGGTGTCAGAAATGGTTGTTAAGGGTGTCGGAAATGGTTGTTCTTGGTGTCGGAAGTGGTTGTCCATGGTGTCAGAAATGGTTGATAAGGGTGTCGGAAATGGTTGTTCTTGGTGTCGGAAATGTATTTTTTTTAGCGGTTCCGGAAGTATGTACTAAGGGTGTCAGAAGTGGTTGTTAGTGGTTACGGAAACAGTTGTTCTTGGTGTCAGAAATGCTTGTTAGGTGGAACCAGAAATGGCCATTAGTAGTGTCAGAAAGTGATAGTTAAGGGTGTCGGAATCGGTTGTATGCGGTGTTGATGGTGTTATAATTGGCTGTTAGTGGTGTTGTGATGTGTCATTGCCGCTGGTTGTTTGAACTGGTTGTTAGCGGTGTTGCCATTTACTGGTGATGTAATCTGCTATAGTTGGTGTTAGAATATGTTGTTAATGGTATTATGATTTCAAATGGTTGAATTGATTTGTTATTCTTGGTGTTGTTGGTGTTATTGTCGGTGTTGTGATCTGTTATTGTTGCTGGTGTTATAGTTTGTAACTGTTGGTATTATGGTTGTTATTATTGCTGGTGTTATTATCATTAAAATTTGTATTGTCTTTGTTATTTTTATTATTATTATCCTTATTATTATTATTATTATTATCATCATTATTGCTATCATTACCTGTATTAGTATTATTAGTAGTATCACTATTATCATTATGATTATCATCATTATTATTATCATTATGATTATTATCATTATTATTATTATGATTATTATCATTATTATTATCATTACCATGAATATTGTTATCATCATTAATATTAGAATTATCAAGGAAGCGACCGATAAGATAATAATGAAAAGATAATAATGAAAATAATGTTAATGAAAATAACATAATATAACAGTAAGAAAGAAGGAAAAAGTATATTAATTTAGACTGTTTCATCGATGAAATGATTTTGCGTTTTATTAATGGAAGTTAAGGATTCAATGAAGGTGACTTTGAAGAAGTGTAATGTGTGTGTTTGTTTGTGTGTGTGTGTGTGTTTTTGTGTGTGCGTGTGCGTGTGTGTGTGTGTGTGTGTGCGTGTGTGAATGTGTGTATGTGTGTGTGTGTGTGTGTGTGTGTGTGTGTGTGTGTGTGTGTGTGTGTGTGTGTGCGTGCGTGCTTATCATCTATCTGCATGTGTGAGCAGAATTCATCCCGAACAAATTGTAAACAAAACAATGAATTAAAGAACAACAAATACCCTAAAAAGAAGAAGAAAAAAAAAACGAAAAGGCCTTCGTTATACTCGTGTGTTTCCTGTTCTATCGTTAATTCTCTGTTTACTGTTTATTTCCTGGGTACGTTTTTACTGTATGAGGATAAGTGTGTGTTTATCTATACATGTATTGTATGTGTTTGGGCACTTTTTTTTTACGTATGAATCTACAATATAATCGTATAATACACATACAGATAGAGGCACACACACACACACACACACACACACACACACACACACATACACACAAACAGCCTCCCCCACCCTCCCCCCACCCCAACCCCTATTCACACACACACCCCTACACACACACACGAACAAACAAACAAACAAACACATCCCCACACACATACACCCCCCCCCCCACTCACCAACATCATCAGAGAGAATATACAGAATATTGGGCTGCTTGGCAACGCTGCTACCCACAAGGAGGGCCAGTGCCACCAAGGTCGAGAGAGATGCGAGCGGTGCCATTTTCTCTCACGGTGCCTGGGAGAGAGAGAGAGTGAGAGAGAGAGAGAGAGAGAGAGAGAGAGAGAGAGAGAGAGAGAGAGAGAGAGAGAGAGAGAGAGAGAGTTACAGAGAGAGAGAGAGAGAGAGAGAGAGAGAGAGTGTGAGAGAGAGAGAGAGAGAGAGAGAGAGAGAGAGAGAGAGAGAGAGAGAGAGAGAGAGAGAGAGAGAGAGAGAGAGTGAGAGAGAGAGAGAGAGAGAGAGAGAGAGAGAGAGAGAGAGAGAGAGAGAGAGAGAGAGAGAGAGAGAGAGAGAGAGAGAGAGAGAGAGAGAGAGGAAGCCTGATTATTGTAAGTTTGGTTGAAAATTATCATTATTGTAGTTATTTTTATTTATTTTCCTTCACATTTTTTATTTACTTCATTATCATTGTTGTTATTGCTATTCGTTATTATTATTATTATTATTATTATTGTTATTATTTTAATCATAATTTTTATTATTATCATGGCTATAATTATTATTAGTATTATTGCTATCACTGTCATTATTATGACAAAGATAGTAATGTTATAATTATTGTTATTATTATCATCAGTATTATTATCATTATCATTATTATCATTACTATTATCATTGCTATAGCTATCAATATTATTATTTTTATTATTATTATTATTATTATTATTATTATTATCATTACAATTATCATTGCTATTGCTATTATTATTATTATTACTATTATTATTATTATTATTATTATTATTGTTATTATTATTAATATTACCATTATTATTATTTTCATCCTCATTATTATTGTTATCATCATCATTATATTATCACAATTATTATCATTATCATTGCCAATTTTTCTTTTATCAGTACAACATTTATTGTTATTTCATTTTCATCAGTATTATGAATATTATTAACACTATTATCATGATCATTATTATTACTATCATCGTCAACAATGACATTATTACTATTATTATCACTGTTATTGTTGATGTTATTATTATCTTTATTGTTATTTTTATTATCATTATTATTACCATTGTTATTACTATCATTATTATTATTATCATTATTATTACCATTGTTATTACTATCATTATTATCATTATCATTATCATTGTTGATATTATTGTTATTATCATTATCATCATCATTGTTATCCTTATCATAATGATACAGCGGCTTGCTGAAATTCCGATTTAAAAAAAAAAAAATATAATGAAGATACATAAATAAAAACAAGAACAATCAACAACTGTTCCTTCCTCCTTTCCTTATTCCATTTACGTATGCATCTATTTAACAGTAAATCTATTTATTCAACAAAGTGCCGAGGATTCCTTTACGGGGCAAAGACATTATATCGATATGTTGAAGATGAAATCACATAATAAGAATAAAGATTTAATAAAAAAAAAAATATCCAAATATCACACTTACTTTTAAACTAATACCAATTCACTGTTATCAAATATAAACACTCCTAAAGCGTAAAAAAATAATAATAAAAACAAGGAAAAAAAAACATAAACACAGATTTTCTACGAGTGTCACTTACCTAAGCCGGGAGAGACAGACACTGAGGGACAGACACCGATTGGCTTATATATTATGTCTTAGAAGAGGGGAAGGGGAGGGGGGTAGAGGAGGAGAGAGGGAGGGGAGAGGGAGGGGGAAGGGGAAAGGGGAGGGAGATAGGGAAGAGAGAGGGGGAGGGGGAACAGGGGAGAGT